CGTTATGTGTTGCTGCTTCTGGTCATGAAGGTTTTCTCATTACTATGAAACTTCAAGTGAAACAAAATATGTCGTTTTAAGCCCTATTCGATGGTGGAGATTCAAATACTCTGTACAAATCTCCTCGCTAGATAATGAAGGGCTTTAAATATCGGGCGAAAGATCCTACAACGAGGATGACTGTACGCTTTAGTACAGGTGTATCCGTAACACTGTTGAAATGGGTAGCACACATTTCTTGCACTCTGAAAGAAGTTTAATGCGATGATGAATACATAGTGCTAAACTTGGATTAACAATTTGATGTTATACTTGAATTAACGTAGCTCATAAGATACGAAAAACAAGTTAAATGGCATCTACGAAGTGTGGATATGCCAGCCGCTCGTTCACCAGACGCCCATCTGTTGAAATTTTTGGAGCGTCCACAACCAAATAGATGTACTACTGTTATTGCGATGGACTCAAGTGTGGTTTGGTTGTAGTAGGGATGCACAAAATCACATTTTGAGTAACAATCATGTAGCGGAGTAAAATCTTAGCGACTGCTTAACAATGCATGGAGCGCCGACGGCCCACATCAGGAATAAGTCGAGCAGACTTTTGTATGGTTTTTTCTTACTAGACTACACTTAGATCATGACCAACCGATTGACAACGATGGTTAATACGGATATGGTACATAGAAAGAGGCTGAAGTTGAAAGAGTAAGTCTTAACCCAACTGTGAAAGTAAGTTCCTATGATATGACAAAGGCAATGATAGTCGTTGATAAATATAGATCAAGCTTAGGTGGCCATTTGATGAATCTTATCACGCCTTCAAATGTAAATGCAAAGATTAATCAGTCACCTCCGCTTAACCAAAGAGATTCTTGCGATATCCGCGTAGTGGCGAAGTCAAGCAGATCTGCGTTCTCGTCGAGGAGGATGAGTAAATCAGTGATAACCGATCAGCAATGTTCATTGCCGAAAATGACCAATTTCTCAGCAGCATATCAATAAGTGAGGGTTTCCGTATTAAGAAGAATGGAATTGAGAGAGATACATCCCAATCGTGGAGATCACTCTTAACAAATCCTCTCTATGATGATTTGATGGAATGCAGCGATTTATTCATAGAAGAAGTCCCGTGCGAGTTACATAAGGACAGAGGTACTCGTCGTGCGATAAACCTGAAACCTTTTTAAAGTACTGTGCCATGCAAAAATGTCCACTGCGTCGTGAATAGTACTAGCAATGGATTAATTCTTTTCCTATCGCTTATTAGCCTGGCATGTGAGGATATTTAACCCTTCACTTACTGTATCTCTCCGATCTTCTATGTGCACAAGGCCGCAGGAGGGTGGCGAAAAGTACACACCTTCAGCAATTTGAATGCTGCAACTTTACCAGCTCATACACCAATACCAAGGTAAGATGTCATCATAGATGGTATGGCTAAGAGAACCATCTATTTAAATCTGTGTATGATGGATGGCTTCTACCAGACCCTTATGCGCCAAGGGACATTCTCTATATCGCATTGAGCACCCCAAGCGGTATGCTTTGGGAGTGGTAAGTAATGACACAGGGTTTAATAGATGCCATTGCTAAGCTCAACAGATACGTTACGAATCTGGCAAGATCTGAGAGCAAGCGTTTGCAACCAATTACTTCGACGATATATTCGTCCATAGCAGGGCAATGTATGAACAGATAGATGTCAAAGTGCACCTACTCTACCCCCAAGAAAGGTCTTACATTAATGCGCGAGCAGAAGTTGTGCGCCAACCTCAGGAAGTGTGTATTTAATGTCAGTAAAATAACACCTTTTGGTTGCATCGCGGGCAAGCATGGCGTACGGCTCTATCCAGAAAAGATTATGGCGATCAGCGACTGGCCTATCCCTACAGATGTCAGTGGACTTCAAAAGGTTCTTGGCCGAGCGGCATTTTTTAAAAAAATGTTCAAGCAATTACTCCAAGATCACCATTCATCTCATTCGTTTATAAAAAAACCAGAAATTGGAATGCAGTGCCGACTGCTTCAATTCCTTCGACGGTATCATGCATTCTTGATACGATTGCCACTTTTGTTGAATATAGTTAAAGACAGATCCTTCTACGTGGTCTGTATGCCAGCGACATTGCAATCGGCAGTGCACTAATGCTGTGAGATGTAGACGATGGGGACTGTATCGTCTGTTTCTAGGCACTCCAGTTGCAAACCAAACGAACGCGACTATCCCGCTTAAAATAAAGAACTCCTTGCCATTGAGTACACGCTGGCTAAGTTCAGAATCGATGTGCTAGGTGGTTAAACTAACACCATTTATAATGACCATGTGCCTCTACGCCTGGCCGTTATAAGTCTACAACTCTCGCAGCGGATGGCGAGGTGACTGTCTCTATTCGCGGATTACAGCTCAATTATAAGCCAGGACGACTAAATGTCGTCACTGAAGCACTCTCGTGCTGGCCCGATTTCTAGCCAGCTGCGCCACCCGACACTGGTTCGACCAATGTTGCGTTTTTGACGTCGAGTGTCCCGTCGTGAACCCTATTTAAATACGTGTGCAAGGCTTTCGATTCGGCGATGTTAAGTTTGATGGATCATCTCTCGCAACCATCCCGTCATCCTTTAAAAATATGGACACAGTATATCGATCCCCACGTGTATAATATGCAGTACACTATGGCGTACTAAATAATTCAGCCGCTGACGGCGACACACCTTGTGTCGTCGCGCCGGACCATGAAACCGGCGACTGCACATCATGTATGGGTACCACGATGCACCTGTTGGTGGACATTGTGGTTGAGAGCAACGCGTACCACAGTGAGCCGCAACTTTTACTAGTTCCGCCAGTATCCAATCGTGCGCAAGTAGGCTGAGGCCTGAGAGTTTTTTTATCGAGTGAAATCTAGTCATTTACTTTGATTCCTGTTGCAGCCTATGCCCGTCTAGGCCGAGTGAGGGAAATCCTTCTCAATGAACTCTGCCTTTGAAGTACCCGTAGAATCTCACGAGAATGGTATTATTTCTGTGCTCATTAGAAAACTTTAACCGATGCTACATGTGGTTGATTTACCCGAATCACTCCGCGCATCGTCTTGTGTTTGTGTCCTTTTGACACGGTATTTCACATTCATTCGTTGCCCCGTGAATTCTTGTCTAATCACGACATACGGTTCATAGCTAAGCTCGGTACTCTGTGCTAAAAAAGCTTGGAACGCGCTTAAGATATGTCCACGTCAGGCCGCCTTGAAACAAATGGTCAGATCTAACAGGCCATTTGTGTCCTCGAGTAGATCCTTCGAGAATACGTCCATTCTTTACAAACTAGAGTGAATCATATTGATTGTGCAGTTATTCATCAACAATTCAGTACATGCGTCGAAGACGCACACGCCTTTTTTCGTAAATGGCTTACACCATCCGCTTCTTTACCCCTTTTAAAGTATGACTGTCATTTAGAGTGGGAAGGGGCTAATTCGAGCGACAGTCAATCCACCTCTCACTCTTTAAGCGACGACAGCGCGGTCACAACGTTCGGCGCCGATGTCGACCACATCGTCTTTGGTGAAGAAGACGACAGTAAGGGCAAAGATGCTCTTACCGGTCACGATACTGATCAAATCAGCATCACGCCCAGCGCGTCCAAAGACACGCTACCAGAGGCGACATGTGATAATGCTACAGTATGCTCCAAGAGCAACACAACTTACGATAGCGAGTCAGTAGATGAATTAATTCTGTCTCGCAAAACAGTTGTCCGTTTCGTACAAACTATAATACAGAAGTGGTAGATTGACAAAAACGAAACGCTAACAAGAATGAAAGGGTTAGTGTTCTTTTGTTCAGTTGTAGTGACCTATTCTTACAATCTACGGATAACCTACCTTGACACACCGTGACTAACGTGAGTAGTATAACAAATTATTCCTCAAGTTCGTCGGTCCATTTCGTGTGCTGCGTCGCCTAGGCCAGGCATACACGATTAAACAACTCGTAAGATGCCCACGCATCCTACGTTCTACGTCGGTCACCTTAGGCCATACTATCAGTACGGGGATTAATCCGTGAAGAAATCTCTTGCGCTCAAGCATATCCAATAGACACTTGTGATCACGATGTTATTATCAGGCCGTGTCTGAGGTTCAAATATCTTCCCGCGAAGCCGAGAGATGGCCTCAAGAGCTTTAATTAGATCGTCGCAAAGAGTAAGCTTTGACCGCTCAATCTCGAACGGGTCATAAGAAAAATGTGATTGATTCCTCCCCCGTTCCGAGGAGAAACGGATCGCGTTGCCGAGCAAGTATGTAAACTTTTGTCTCTCTCGTGCTCAAGTTCCTCGCGCAGATCACTCGTAAAGCGCTAAAGCAGACTCACGGCGTCGAACTGGACCTGAAAAATCGCATTAGAACGTGCTTTCTTCTCTGCCTCATCCAATAATCTTTGCGCGCGGTGGCCAACGCTTCTTCGTGAAAAGCTTGTTGGACAATCTAGATGTGAAAAGACGTCGGACTCTTAATGTAACGGGGTGAATCGTTACATAACAATTTATAAGAAATTGTTAATAGAATATAACTATAAGAGTTATATTCTCAGAATATTGTCATAAGGACAATATTCTGTAGCACTTCCAAGTAGTTCCTAATTGGTTGATATAGGCCATTATATCAACCAACGAAGACGCGCCACGACAGACGCACGCAATGAGTGGTGAGCAGATAACTGATTTACACATTTGTATTTAGACATAGTTAGATGAAGATAAATAGTGATTTATTGCAGACATTAACTATTATAAATACAGTTCTACTTTTACTCTAACCGAGTACTCGCTTCTTCTTACCGTCTTCCTCTGCACGTACGAGTGTACGTGAAGTTACGAGGCACCGCCTTATTCTGTTATCAGAATAAGTAGCTTGTACTGTCACCAGTACAAGCTTCAGGGTGCCCCGTTACACCTGGTAGCACTTCGTAGTCCGTCCAAGGACCGCGTTCACATCCAACATGAATATGTTGGATGATGAAGATGACCAAAGCTTTCACGCTACGCGTGACGGCTACTCCCATTTGAGCGATGTCGAATGGGATGCGGTTGAACGAATGGGTTCGACCATGGGCATCCATGCTGTTAGCGTCATGCTAGAGGCTCTCAATAGAGATGCCCAACATGCTACTATCGCCAAGTTCATTCAAAATGAACTTGACGCAGAACGCGAGAAAGTAGCCTTGCTTCACCAACAAGGTTCTCAACAAGCAGAGTTGTTGAGAGAACAAGGTGCTCAACAGTTTGAACTGTTGAGACAGCAGCAGGCTGCTGCTGGCGGGTCGATGCACTCGCGTCGGCCCGAGACTTTGAAGATTGACATCTCGGGTCAAAGTATAGAGGGTCGAGGAAGACTCCCTCTTGAGATGGTTCGTCGAATTGGATGACGCCATAAGGGCGCGTCGCATCGACGACGGGGATATGCAAGTTGCATTTGCCCAGTCAAATCTGGCAGGACGTGCCAAGACTTGGGCACTGGGGCTCAAGCTGCACGACCCATATGCGTTTGGGTCGTTGGAAGTCTTCAAGTCGCGGCTCAGACAAACGTTTGAACCGCCTAGAGCTGAGTTCAGAGCTCGAACCGAACTCTTGAAGCTCAAGCAGGGTAAGCGTGATGTGCACGCTTACGCTCAACATATACGACATCTCACGAGTTGTATAAGTTCCAATCCGGTGGATGAACACACGTTGCTTTCGGTGTTCATGCAGGGTCTTGCGGATGGTCCCGTCAAGACTCACCTGTTCCGGCTTGAACTAGATTCACTAGAACAAGCCATTTCAATTGCGGAGCAGGAAGACTTCAGTCTGAGACAGGCTCGCGCCAGCTCGACATCATATCGTCAACCGAGACGATATGACAACGGAGGTCCAGAGCCGATGGAACTCTGTTATGTAGAGAGCGAGAAGGCTCGCTCTACAGGCTACAAGAAGTTGCAGAGATGCAACAGATGTCAAAAGACAGGACACTACGCTTACGAGTGTAGTGCCCCTCGTCCAGTGTCTCGCGACACTGGGCGTAGTGACCGTCCACCCATGAGAAAGGGGCAGGGACGAGGGTCCGCAGTTGGTGCAAAGACGCAACAACGAGATGGACCGTCAAAAAACGGACAGGATCAGTAGGTGCGGAGCACCCTACTGATCCAGCAACGTCAAGAGAATTTGTAGGCCTCTTGATGAAGGTTGCTCCCAACACACAGACATTGTGCGTTGCTGCTCTAGGTAATGAGATCTCACTCATTACCTTGAAACTCGAAGTGACGAATAAGTTGTCCCTTCGAGCTCTAGTCGATTGTGGGGCGTCCAACAATTTTGTGCGACGCCAATCGCTAGAAGATGGTCACTTTAAATTCAGTGAATGTGACACACCTCCTACGAGGATGACGGTACGTCTTGCGACAGGCGCATCCGTAACCGTCATGAAGCGTATAGTGAAGATTCACTATACGCTAGAAGATACCCAATACGACGATGACTTTATCGTATTGGATTTGGATGACAAATTTGATGTCATCCTTGGAATACCGTGGCTCAGAAGGTACGAACCACGGGCAAACTGGCAACATCGGACAGTAACGATGCCTGCCGCTTGTTCATCAGATGGCCATCTGATGAACGTTTTTGGAACGTCCACAAGCGTGTGGATGTACTACGAGTGAGTGCGATGGCCTCACTTGTGGTACGGTCGTTAGTACGACTGCACAAAACCTTAGTGTACCAAACGGTTACACTTCGGAGCCAAGTTCCGGCGGCTGTGAGGAAACACAGGCTGCGCCGAAGGTCCACCACTCGAATAAGTCGGGTGGACTGGGACAAAGATGTATCCCTAGAGGGGAACATCTAGAAGAGAAACAATCGATCGCTCAGGTTAAGCGAAACGATAATCCTAGATCGACTGGAGAGTCTTTCGTAGAGGATCTCGCTGTGGTTGCGCAACCCCAGCTAGAGGAAGTAAAGGGAATAAGTCCCAAGATTACAAATACGGCGGAAATAAGTTCCCCGAAACCCCGCGGGAATAAGTCCCCCGGGAAGACGAAGGAATAAGTCCTTCGAAGCCTGAGGGAATAAGTCCCCAGGAAATGACAGAGACATTGAATGTCATAGTCAATAACGGATCATGTGTAGGCGCTTATACACTTGATCTGATTGCGCCTCCGAAGTTAACTTCGGAGATCACTCAGTTGCCAACGCTCGAACATAAAGGTTCTTGCGTGATCTGCGTAGTGGCAAAGTCAAGCAGATCTGCATACTCGTCGCTGAAGACGAGTATGTAACCGACATAAGGTCAGCAACAGTGTTTACTGAGAACGAGAGAGTTCTCAGTAGTTCATCTATGGACGAGAGTGTCCTAGATGAAAAGACACGAATTGAGCGATATGAGTCCCAATCATGGGAATCGCTCAAGGAAAATCCTCTCTATGAAGATTTGGTTGAATTCAAGGATGTATTCCCTGAAACTGTTCCGTGCGAATTACCGAAGGATAAAGGTATTCGACACGAAGTCGAGCTTAAACCAGGCTCGAAGTACTGTGTCATGAAGCAGTGGCCACTGCCTCGTGAACAAGTACTTGCGATCGACAAGTTCTTTGCCGATCGTTTAGCAGCGGGCCATGTGAGGGAATCAACTTCCCCACATAGCTCTCCGACCTTCTGTGTGCGAAAAGCAACAGGAGGGTGGCGGATAGTGCACGCGTTTAACAAATTGAACGCTGCAACGGTACCGGCTCAGACGCCGATACCGAGGAAGGACGTAATCATTGATGGTATGTCAAAGAGTACCATCTTTTCGTCCATGGATTTGATGGATGGCTTCTATCAAATCCTAATGCGGAAACAGGATATACCCTATACCGCAGTTAGCACGCCCTAGCGGCATGCTCTGGGAATGGCTAGTAATGCCACAAGGGCTCAGTAATGCCCCTGCCACGTTCAACAGATGTGTATCACATCTGTTGAGACCAATACGAGTTCGCGCCGAGTTATTTCGATGACGTATTCATCCATAGTCGAGCTATGGATGGAAAGTCGGACGTTGAGTTCACAGGTACCACGTCCGACAAGTTCTTACAATCATGCGAAAGCATCAATTGTATGCTAACCTCAAGAAGTGTATATTTGCAGCAAGCGAAATACCACTTCTTGGGTGCATCGTTGGTAAGAACGGTGTACGTCCTGATCCCGAAAAGATCAAGGCGATCACCGACTGGCCTGTGCCGGTCGATGTCAAAGGTCTTCGAAAATTCCTTGGGCTAGCGGCGTATTTGCATAAGTATTCACGCAATTACGCCGAGATGACTGTACACCTCTCTCGTTTGTTGAAAAGAACGAGAGGTGGTTATGGAACGCTGAATGTCAACGCTCCTTTGAGGGTATCAAGCAGAGCTTGATACAATCCCCAGTCCTAGCAATAGCCGATCAGGACAGGCCATTTCATGTGGTCTGTGATGCCAGCGATTTCGCAATCGGCTGTGCATTAATGCAGTACGACCTTGAAGGCGTTGAACGCGTCGTCTGCTATCAGTCGCGTCAGCTGCAACCAGCTGAGCGGAACTATCCAGTGCATGACAAGGAACTCCTTGCCATGAAGTATGCACTCGCGAAGTTCAGAGTCTATCTATTAGGAGATAGACCCTTCGTTGTTTACACTGACCATGCGTCCTTACGCACGGCAGTGAACAGCCCGCACCTTTCACAACGAATGGCGCGGTGGTTGTCATTCTTTGCAGAATACAACTTTACGGTCGAGTACAAACCAGGACGACTTAATGTCGTCGCTGATGCACTCTCACGTCGTCCCGACTTTGAAACAGTCGCGAAACCCAACAGTGAGACAGTCACTGTTGCGGTTATGACGTCCTCAGTCCCATCTACAATGTTGTATGATGATGTGAGGCGGGCATACGCCCAAGATGGTGAGATAGTGAAGTTGTTGTCACATCTCTCCCAACCATCTCGAGAATCGTTGAAACGATTGTCGTCTGCGTATCGATCTGCATCAGATCGATACACTACTCATAACGGTTTACTGTACTATACAGCCGTTTCTGGTGACACACCACGTGTTGTCATTCCAGATGATACTGATCTGCGTTTGCGGATCATGTTCGAGTATCACGATGCTCCTATAGGAGGACATCGTGGCCGAGAGAAAACATATCTCACGGTAAGTCGAGACTTTTACTGGCCCCGCCAGTATCAGTTTGTGCGAAAGTATGTTCGCGCATGCGAGTCTGCCAACGAGTGAAGTCAAGTCCTTCACTGCGTGCACCTTTACAGCCTCTACCGGTTCCGGCTGAGTGCTGGGAATCCATCTCAATGGATTTCGTCTTCAGGGTTACCCAAAGACGCACGCGGGAATACAGGGTATTCTCGTATTTGTTGACAGATTCAGCAAAAATGGTACACCTTGTGGCTGTACCAGAGACAATCACGGCAAGTGGCTGTGCTTGTGTCTTTATTGACACCATCTTCCGACTTCATGGGTTGCCCCGTGAACTCGTATCAGAACAGAGATCCACGATTCACTGCTGATTTCTGGCGTTCCGTGTTCAAATCACTCGGAACGCGCTTGAAGATGTCAACATCTGATCATCCAGAGTCGGATGGTCAGACGGAACGTGCCAATCGTGTCCTTGAAGAGATACTTCGAGGATACGTACACTCCTTTAAGAGTTGGAGTGAGTTTTTGCCAATGGTAGAGTTTGCCATCAACAACTCGGTGCATGCGTCCACGACACATACACCGTTTTACGTGAATGGCTTGCGCCATCCGCGTATACCCACCTTACTAGAGTGTAACTCTGGTTTAAGGGGGGGAGGGACTCGCGCGAGCAAAAACCGATTTGGTTCACGCTCATCACGCTCTGACGAAGAAGTCATTGCGTTTGATGCCGATATCGATAACATCGATATCGAAGAAGATGATGCCAGTGAGAGTGCGGAAGCCCTCACTGAAGACAATGATCCCAGGTGAGAGTGCGGAAGCCCTCACTGAAGAAAAGGTTGTTGTTGCTGCAGTGCGCTCACAGCACACTGAAGCTAACGAGTCATCAGATGAGTTCATACTGGCTCGTGAAACGGTAGTCCGTTTTGTGCAAGACTCCATCGCCGAAGCGGTGGATAAGCAAAAAGCAAAACGCTGACAAGAATGGAAGGGCAAACACTCTTTTATTTAATAAAGGTGACTTAGTCCTACTGTCTACGGTTAATCTACCAAAACATGTAGTGACTAACTTGGGTAGCAGTAAACTACTACCCAAGTACATTGGCCCATTTCGTGTATTGCACCGCCTAGGCAATGCATACACGATCGAGTTACCACGTAAGATGCGAACGCATCCCACGTTTTACGTTGGTCGGCTTAAGCCGTACCATCAGTACGCTGCTTCTTCCGATGAAGAACGCCCTTGCGCTCAAGCATCTCGCAGAGAGCCTTGTGCTCCCGATGGTGGGCATCAACAAGGGTCTGAAGAGCAGTTATCTCAGCCCGAGACCGATCAACAATCCCACGAGCTACCCTTAGCTCGTCACGAAGAGATGTCAGAGATCTCTCGTTCTCAAGCTGAGCAAAGGCAAACTCAGCTCGATGCTTCGAGGCAGTGTCCACCATCTGGAGACGCCTATTCCGCTCATGCTCGAGATCGTCGCGTAACCCTTGCGTTACGCGATCAAAAACTCTCGGGAACACACCGATCCACATGATCGTGTGGAGAGCGTCTTTCCTCCTCCTCCACCTCCATTAGAGGACTCTCGCGGTGGCCAGCGCTATCTAGTAGAGCAGCTGTTGAACCACCGCGACGTGAACGGACGTCGGACGAGTTACCTCGTCCGGTGGCGCGGCTATCCCCCGTCCTGGGATTCTTGGGAGCCCCGCTCCCAATTGATGGTTGACGTACTGGGTCTGGTCGAGCAGTACGACGCGACACATCCTGTGCCGCAGAAGGACCGCCGGAGAAAGTCTTCCCGGCACGGTCGTAAAGGGATTTCAGGTTGTCAATCCCTTCGTACATCTCAGTAGAGACACGTACGCGCCACCACGGGCTGGTAAGGAGGTAAGCCTCCTTAGGTGCTCGTGCAGAGTTGTTCACACAACATGGGCACGAGTCTCCCCAAGAGAGGCAGGGTAATCCTTTCTCCCTTGACAGACGATGCAGCTTGTAGCGTGCACCTGTCGGGGTTCGCTTTTCAAACTTATCACGAGCTTTGATAAGTTTGTCGTTCCAAGCGTCACGACCTACATCCTCGAGATTATGGATGTAGGCGTTCCACGCCTGAAGTAGTGAGGGACCATCACGTTTGTGATTCCCACTGTACCATCGATGTCTGAAGAAAGCATCGATGAAGAACTCATGTTCAGCGCGATAGTCTTTCGCGCTGGGGTCAAGTGATGGATCCTTGACGAATCGAACAATCGTGTTCGATAACGATCACTCGTCGTCGCCGACAAGTGATCCATGACGGATTTAGGAGGCATCCATGCCTTCTTTTCTGGAGCGAGACGCAACACATTGCGGTCCCGCTCTTCCTGCGACGTGCCGACAGAAGTACTGGCACCTCGCTGTGAAGTGGTGTCCATAGGAGAACCGACACCACTATTAGCGCCCGAGTCTCGCGACCTCAAGCGCCTTCGCTTCGGCGATGGTTCATCTGACTCATCAGATGAACCAAAGATGCTGCGACGCAAAGCATCGTCCATGCCACGCTTGGCAGGCGGCTTGGATTCAATTGCCGTCGATACGGATCCGTCATCCGTATCAGGAGAGTACGAGACACCGAGCTCGTACTCTGTGAAGACACGAGTGTCTTCATGACCAGCGCCTGCATCACCAGGTGATACAGGCTGAGTCGATTCAGCAACCGATGGGACATCAGTTGCTGTAGTTTCTGCTTCGGCGTCCGCACAGAGACGTGCAGACGCGCTCTCGGCGGCCTTGCTCGCGCATCGCATGGGCTTGTTTACCATGCGATGAGATGTTGGAAAGTGGACGCGGACCAACAAGTGCAAACCCCGTCCCAAATGATTTGGGACGAGTATCCATTTAGTCAATCAGTCACTAAAGTGACTGATGGTTAAGGGGGGGTGATGTAACGGGGTGAATCGTTACATAACAATTTATAAGAAATTGTTAATAGAATATAACTATAAGAGTTATATTCTCAGAATATTGTCATAAGGACAATATTCTGTAGCACTTCCAAGTAGTTCCTAATTGGTTGATATAGGCCATTATATCAACCAACGAAGACGCGCCACGACAGACGCACGCAATGAGTGGTGAGCAGATAACTGATTTACACATTTGTATTTAGACATAGTTAGATGAAGATAAATAGTGATTTATTGCAGACATTAACTATTATAAATACAGTTCTACTTTTACTCTAACCGAGTACTCGCTTCTTCTTACCGTCTTCCTCTGCACGTACGAGTGTACGTGAAGTTACGAGGCACCGCCTTATTCTGTTATCAGAATAAGTAGCTTGTACTGTCACCAGTACAAGCTTCAGGGTGCCCCGTTACACTTAACCTCGTCCGGTGAAGCGTGTTTTCATCCTTGGCAAATACTTGAGAGCCTCGCTCTCAGCTGCTGGTTGATGTGTGGGCTTTGCCAATCAGTATGATAAGGCACATCCGATGCCGGAGAAGTCCCATCGGGGAAAGAACTCCTAGCTCGCTTGTAAAGGGAATGCAAAGTAGATAATACCTCGTACACCTCTTGAGTGACACGTGCCCTCCATCAAGGGTCAGTCATAAATAGGTTTTTTTTTAAATCTCCTGCCAAGTTATTTACATAACTTTGATACACCTTACCATAAGTGAGGCATGGTAGCCCGGTCTCATTTAAACTGATTCAATTTAAATAGGGGCTATCTAGGCGTGCACCCCCTAATAACTGCGTGCACACACACAATTCCCGTGTGTGTAATCGTTTAATTGTTCTGTGTACCCTCTCGTTTTTCTATAAAACAATGTTTATTTTTCTCTCGCGCTGACCAGCAACCGAGAGTTAGCGTGCGGAAGAAGCCACAAGGGACCATCGCTCTCTTTTTCACTGTGTTGAAGCCATAGCATGAACAGCTAGGACGCGGCCACGTGCGCAGCCAACCGCACGCACGCTACCTCGGGCGGCCGCAAGCTGCTGCGCTAGGACGCCGCGCGCTGGCAGCTGTTCGAGCGCAAGCTGCCGTACACGACGCGCCTCAAGAGCGCGCCGCTTTTTCACCTGCGCGGTCCGCTCGCGTCTATGTACGTGAGATGCTGTCCCGTTTGCGGCGTGGCCCGTGCTTACGCTCTTGTGTGTCTCTTTGTTTGTACTGTTGTCTATTGGCTAAGAAATCCAAAAAATTTCAGTCGAAAGAGTCACGCGCCGTCGGTGGTGATGGAGCAACCGATTGTCGGCACGCGCTTGGGATCGCTAGTGAATCTGGGGCTCGTGATTGACGCGACAGACAGCGACAAAGTGTCTGCACAATGTCAAGTGGTTGCGGTTGTGCTGTAGGGGTGATGGTGAGGGAATGGGAAGTATTGACTGGACAATTGAATGAGATGGTAGGGAGTAGGACGGATGAGATGTTCAGTATGTCAATCTGAACGTTTACGGGAGTGAAGGTAGGAGATCTTTTTTATGGTTTGGCATGGTAGGCTGTTAGCGTCACGTGTGAATGGTGTTACTAAGTCATTGTATGTAGATGAGGAAATGAGTCCAGAGGTGCACGACAACAGGTTGGCACAAGCATTTTGCAAGACGCTATTCGTCCACTTGAAATACGATGGAAAGGACATGGATATGGCTGTTTTCTTGGGGCGGATGGCTATAACTTTGTGGGGTTTCTTGTTGTGTGGTGAGTGATGACAGTGTTGGCGTGAATGGAGATCCTCATTAGGTAAAATTGTGGTGCTGACCCCCACAGTGTAGCCTTGGTCAAGTACAAATCGCTCTACTACTAATTGAGCATCATCAAGAGAAGGTTACGTATGCTCGGGAGGTGGTGCTAGCATTGCCGGAAGAGCAAAGAACAGAGAGATAGGAAGATTGTATGGAGGATAGCTCGCATTTAGTGGAGGAAAAAAATTCGACATCACGGGGGGGTTGCGCGTAGCTATTAGGGGGTGTACGCCAAGGCGGTCCCTTCATTTAATGCACCTATATTGATTAGTTTATCCGACCAATTCTGAGCTAGCAATAGCTTTTCAATCCAGGCATCACACTTAACCCTACCAACGTTGAGGATGATAGCGGTTCGTGCCTAAATTAATGAGAACCCATCACGCTTAGTATTACCACTGTACCATCGATGCTTGAAAAACACATTGATGTAGAACTCATGCTCAGTGCTAAGTCCACTCGAAATAGATTCAATGTAAAGAATTCTCAAAAGAAGTTAAAAACCTTAGGTGATAGCAATAGCTTAACGTGTCGGCCAAGCGATCCGACACTATCTAAGAAGACATTTACGCCTTCTTCCCTGGAGAAACGCGCAGTACGTTGTAACCTCTGGATTTCTGCGTGGTGTCGATAGATACACCGAAACCACGTCCAGCACGGTCATCTTATTTGTGACGCACGAATGCGTCACCGTCATCATAGTTCGACTGGCTCTTGCCCCCGCCTTGATATCTCTCAAGAGAACAACTCCACCCTAAACGGAGCGTCCGACTCGTCGAAAGATCCAAAGAGGTCACGATGCTCGCTGATGCTAATGACGCTTCGCAGGACGGACTTGCTCAGCTCTGTCTTCGTGTCAGCCTTCGTCGAGTCGGTGCAGCCATCCGACTCGCCAAAATAATTTAGCTCAAGATCGTCATCTCTGAGGCACACGATGCATCACCCCGTGAGCCTGCACCAGAATAAGCAAAATGTAAGATGTAACCACCTGCTGTGGTTGCAGTCTTTTCTCAATCCGCCGCAGCAGATCGTACTCTCATCGTTGCGTTTCCAGGAGATTTTACTGCACACTGCGTGAACTTGCTAACCATTCGGGAAAATGAAGAAATGTTTGGAATTGACCAACAAGTTCTTCATTTTCCCAGAGTCACTCATATGAGGCACTTATGTATCAATCATTCACAAATGTAACTGATGCTTAAATTGGGGTAGTAAATGGGGGCCTTCGTTACGTGATAGTTTACACGAGGTAAAAACAAGTACGAATATTCTGTTAGGACAAACAGAGTATTCTGTTCATTTTATCACAATATAATATATTGCTTCGCGGATGTAATACACTGATCTTTGGTTGATGTAGGACCAGACATCAATCAATAAATTCGAGCCACGACAGAAGAACGCAATGAGTGGTGACCAGATAGCTACAATACATGCTCGTCTTTAGATATGGTTAAATGAAGACAAAGTAGGATTTGTTGACAGGAGATTAACCATACTAAAAGTTCTACTTGTACCCTTTTCTCGTGTTAAAACCTTCCTCTGCACGACGCGTGTACGTGAAGTCTCATGGTACCACCTTACTCTTTGTTCAGGTAAGCAATCTTGATGTGACAGTACAAGAGACCAGTGCCCCTTTACAGAGAGTCACTCTTTTTGTGATGTTTGATAAGATGTCGGCAGTGTTTGCACACCTCTGCCTTAAGCTTCTGAGGCTGCACTACATCCGTGAAGGGTTCCCATACCATGCTTTGACTTCGGCCTGTCTTCCTGGCTGGTTTGAGTGCTTCATCGGTTGGAAAGTGATAGTTCTTACCTAGCCGGGCACTAGTTGTACACCGGTGAAGTCTGCTAGATAGTGCTAGATTAGTCCGTATAAGAGGTTGCTTCAAAATGTTCGATGCGTAGGGAGATTTGTGGCAGCGGCATTGGCCGCTGCACTAAGAGGTCTCACTTTTCATTTAGTAAGCCACAGAGGAGTCCTGCGACGGCGGGCCGAAACGCGTCTGGCACGCGTCCAAAAGTAAAGTTTTTTTTCAATTTATGTCTTCTTAGTTTTTCTACATCATTCACGACTGGGACCTCCAGCTCAACGACCAAAACACCATCCACTCTCTCGCCTCGCCTAGATAAACATGCGCCATTATCGCTTAAATCGGACATTATGGGACTCATTTTTTCTAGTGGGAGGCTGAATGAAGATAACTGCGCAACAGACTGCGCAACGTGGTCATGCCATACCGTTTTTCAAGGATTCTCAGCTGATCGGGTTATAACAAAACCTACGGAAACCGATGCAAAAATACCGTGTTGCCAGCCCTTGGCTGCAAAGCCTGATGTCTTTCACGCTCAAATGCCGCGGCAACAGAATGCCTCATTCATTTAATTACCAAAAGCAGCTTCTTCACTCCATCGTTTGCATGCTCTGTCTTGTCGATACGTCTGCCGTCGGCGCCGTTACGTTTGGACCAGTAGAGTAGTTAGTTGACGGAGTCGAATCGAGTGCCGCTCCTAATGTAGGACATTCACTACGCCAAGTCAATCCCACGGCCAACCAGCTCCGACTTCTGCAGCCTTACGCCTCGAGTGAGGGGCACCGGCAAAGCATCCGAATCTTCGAGTCTGTGGGCTACCATGGCCGCGTAGGAAAAGATGGAGCTTGAACTTCGAAACAGCGAGGAGCGCTTTGTGCTCGGTATCCCCAGTTTTTTTATTTCAAATAGTCAGTCTTCTTAGCTTTATGGTGTAGGCAAGGCTGAAAGACAAACCGGGGATCAGAGAGTTATTTCGACGATTTGTATCTCCTTCCAGGTTCTACTATGATTGCTCGGTCTGGCACTGATTAAAGTTACGTTTTGTCAACAGTGTCCTGATCTTAAGGATGTCGAAGTTGGACTGTTAATGCTGCGAAAGGATCTATCGAAGGAACAGGTGGTGAGCATGCTGCTGCGGCATGAAAAGGACAAAAAGCTAGGGCATATGCCTCGAAGATGCTGGCGATGGTGCGAAAGGTGGGCTTACAGGCATCCTGGACGCATTGCTCACGAAGCTGCGGGAGCCCAAAACTTGCTCTTGCCCTCTTTCACTTAACCAGTGCCAATGCACTTTCAGAAAGGCCCGATGCTGCGATGATGTAGCTCAATCATCTGCTAAGGAAGAAGGAAGCCAGTCTCGTTGATCCGGCGAAGAAGATGTCCACGTCGTTATCCGTCGCAAACACAGCGCAACATTTGTTTGGAGGAAACCCCTATGTCAATGTTGATCTTTTTCTGGAACGAGCCGCGGAAAAAAGCAAGGGTCTCGTCGGGTCGCTGCGAGAGTCAGACGCTGGTCAAATTGCGAACTTTCAGACTCAGAGCTGGACGAAGCAAGCACCAAGAGGAATGTGGGGTCGTCTCCTTATCTGATAGCAGCTTGCCGTGGTGGAGGTCGATGTGTAAATGTCGGCTACATGTAAGCAGTCATTACTTTGTAGAGTGAGTGTAGTGACGCGTGCGGTTGTTTAAGTCGGACAAGACGACCAACTATATTGCTGCTCGTAAGACGTTAAGCCACGTAAGTCGATAAAAGGTGCCATTGAGTTGCTATTGATACGTAATGATAAGACAAGCAATATTGTCCGATCAGCGCTCAAGCGGTAACAAGATGAGCGTGTGCCATTGCACAACCCTCATTGATCAGTCGACAGATCCGGTAAGGCAATCGCGTTCGCTATCAACTCAAACTTTATACAGTCAACGGTTATCGCGCTCATAGCTTGTCGAGCGGTAGCCCGTCGCACCGGAATGACGATCATATCTACCCGCATCACACGAGAATCGTGGACTACAGCCATTTTCTGATTGTTGTTTATTTTGTTACTTAATATTCAAGTGACTTGACTGCCTGAAGCGCATTCGTTTGAAAATATTCGTCTCAGATTATGCTGGCTTGAATCTTGCTCTTGTTTTCGAGCCGAGGTCAGCACACCACAGTCTATCATCCATACTGACTACCACCTATTACTTCGAAAAGGCTGTGATTCTATACGCATCACCAGTGCAATCCCTCGTGTCTCCCGTGTCTTTTTTGGTTGCACAATGAGTAAATTAGCACACGGGACGAGTGAGAGAAGCAATTTGTATATACGCCCATATTTTGCGATCGCATCGGTCGCAGTCTTTGGGCGATGTATACATACTTATAATTGAATGCTACATGCACGATAAAAGCCGCAATAGCTCGACTAAATTTACTGGGAGGCAAAAGTCTTACGTTGCGCGCAGGCGAAGCAAATGATAACCGACATACTTCGGTCATGGATCCGAGCTTTGAGTTACTTCGAGATAGTTGGTACGTGGGTCCACGAGTGCTTAAAAGAGTTTATAACTATCTTGAAATACATCAGGTGATGTAGGCGACAGCATGTAGATTAAGACAGTCAGAGAGGACGGTGTGCTCGGACAGAAGAAGAGATTGAGAAGTCGTAGGATGCAGCAATTCCTACCACGTCCATGGACTTCGATACTCGTTTGTGGCTATCTTTGCACGATTGCGATTGGGATATGGCAACAGCTTGTGATGCTCCGCGACAGCTTGCTGGCTGCTACAAATGTGGCACATGTTGGCTCTTAACTAACGCCACGCGCCTACAGCACATTAAAACTTTAAAGACCTGTGATTTCGTGCCCTATCTCTTTTTCTGAGTGGTACATGCGAAGTTATTGCGAGACCGAAGCGTGAAGCTAGCTGTGACTGTGCGCAAGGTGAATGCCAAACTTTTTAATCGCACTTTTCAGTGAGTGTCTGTGTGTCTGTGAATAACGCGGTTGGGTGTACTTGCTCGTACTAGGTGCGATCTAGCCTGTCTCCCTCATTGGTCGATTGGCATGATAGGTGTCACTCAATGGCTAGGTCAATGTTACGATGCGCACGTGTGATTGGCCCAAAATCGATCAAAGGTGAATATGATCACATGAGCAAACGCTAGACGCTCATAAGCAAAGGCCGATCGCGTTGTTTGAGTATACTGCACAGTGTTAATACATACAGAAACAGCATTGTACTCATTCTTCAGTGTCTGCCGTTGCATAGAATTTTGCAACTTGATCCAGTTCTCCGAGCTCAATTACCTATATCAAGGGGCAAGATCCAGAGCTTGCTCCCCAATCTTGTAACCAACTCTGCTACCCGGATTGCGTGCAATTGTCGTGTATCGATCACAAAGTTTGGGTTCATGGTCTACATCATCCAATGAGCGGAGTGTTGTCCACCGCGACAAACTATTTTCTAGTGAGATAGAATTCCAAGTACATTGAAAAGATACTTGCTATGCATAAATGTAAAACCCCACCAATATACAGCTACAAATAAAAATAACCAAACAACATCAACAAAATTCCAATACCATGCTGCCGCTTCAAAACCAAAATGATGCTGTTTAGTAAAATGATGATTAATTAATCTAATAGCACTTAAATAAACACCTGCCGTAACCATTGTAGCTGCATGAATTAGGGCAGAAACTGGGGTAGGACCTTCCATTGCATCAGGTAACCATAAATGTAAAAAAAATTTGAGCAGATTTTCCCATAGCGCCTATAAAAATTAAAATACAAATTACAATCTTATATAATAGAATTTAATACTTATGAAAACATTTCATTACCTTTCACATTAACAAAAATAGATAAAATTTCAAGTATCAAATATAGCTTTAACTTCGGCTATTTTTGTAATATATTCTACAAATACATGAGCTAAATTTACCATGTCCTACAAAGTGGATCGAGTGGCATATTCCACATACGAGTCTGACGTGTCCGACAATCCGTACACTACGTGACAGGTAATACAAGACATGGAATATTGCGTAAAACTTATTCGGCTCTGATGGCATGTATCACATACCGCTTTTTTTTCGTTGTGGCAAACGCTTCCAAAAGTACGAAAAACAAGGGACTTCTATCCCAGGGCCATGTTTCCCGTGCACTGCTATTCATAGCCAAAGTAGGACAGCACCTACTTGCCCCTGGTCCTGCGTGCTGACTAGACGTCAATGACGACACGAAGAGCAAATGTGCCGGTAAATTACAAAAAGGATGCTTTTGCTCAACTGGCGAGAGCTACAATATCACAATTCTTACACTACAATTATTGGTTCAATTATCTTCATGTGCTTTCACCCTGGCATGCGGCGCTGTCGATACTTACCGAGACCGACATGTCATCTCCACGGACACTTCCTTCACTCTACTTCTATTCCCACCACGTGCAAATATGTTCCTAGTATGTGCATGCACCTGTCACAATAAGGTGCTAAAAAGATCCGCTGTACACAGGCTGCTCTTCAAGATCAGCACCGCAATGTCTTCGGCCGTGAGGATCGTGCCACTCGCCAACGGACTTACCCTTTGCTCGACCATGGTCGTGTTCATCAGCATGTCCGTTTGAATACCCTTTGCGCTCGAAAACACGACTCTTCAGCGGTGTGTACCGCACTGAAGCGTGCTCGCTTTCACGATCATCAAAACTTTTTCGGCCAAAGGTACTGTACGAGCGACCTTGAGGTGACAGAGGCATGAGTGCGCCGAAATGGCCCGTCAAATGCGCAAGGTGGACGGGAGTGCTAAGCTCTTGACCGTCCATGTCGTTGATTTCGCCTTCACCGTGCTTGGCCAGCAAGTAAATACCCACAATGATAACTATCCACAACGGGCACAGCATCTTGATGTTAGCAATATGACGCAACGTGTAAAAAGAAGTTCCATCAAGCTCGGACGTACATGCTAGTGCGATTGGCAAACATATCCAGTCGAAGAGTGAGAACCGCGTGTACTTTTCATAAAAAACGACGCCGCCAATGACACTGGACTAACAAAGCAGAACACACATGTCAGTGGCTGAAAGACCCGGAAAAGACCCATTTACCAAAAACAGCAATTGCGTACTCCAATCCAAAAGCACTGGAACATCGGAAACACGCTGAGTGTATCTCCCGCCATGATCGCACGGTTCAACAAGTCCGTCTGGAGCACCAGCGTGCAGATCATGCCGCCCATGAACAAGTACGTCGTAAAGTAGACAAACTGGTTCTCGCCACCAATCGTCAAAATCATCAAAATCGACGCACACTACATCATGACACACCGAGAAACAAAACACCCTCTTCACCGTTTAGTGATGAAACACCCACAAACATCATGTCGTAAACTCGCCATACCTTGGCCAGCAGCACTGAGAAGGAGCCAAAGATACCGGACGCCGTAGCGTACATGAACGGCAGCACTCTGTACTTGGACTCGTTTGGCGACCGTGGAAGTCTCAAAATGGCTTCAATTTGTCCAAAAATCACACCAAGCACCGCTGTCTGCAGCATAGCAACACACACGTGAATCAATTCCTTGTTCTTTGCTAGTTTTCTCTCACTCATAGACTCGTACCATGACGCCAAGGTAAATGAGGAAACCAAGCTGATAGAACTGATTCTCGAGCTCCACGAGCGACAGCTGCTCGTCTGGTTCATTGGCTACCGTACTAAGTACGACGCCAATGATAATGAGAAGCGTGCCCACTACATCCGTCTTGGTCAGTATTTGCCCTAACCACAGATGAGCGAAGAAAACATTGGCCAAGACCGTGAAGCCGCCACCGACGGCCGCCACGAGCGCTTGAGGGGCAAAGCCCAGTGCTTCAAAGTCTCCGACTGCGCCTAGAAGAACGAGGATCAAGCCCGTAAGCCACAGCGGACGGGTGTAGTACGTCTGTCGCTCAAACAGGGGCTTCTCTTCCTCCTGATACGTGATACACACATGCAAAGACAGAGCCACAGCATTAGCGCAACTTGCCTGACTTTATCATGTATCTCGAGTGCGCACTGAAGTTTTATCACGTATCTCGAGTGCGCACTGAGCTTATATCATGTATCTCGAGTGCGCACTGAGCTCATATCATGTATCTCGAGTGCGCACTGAAGTTTCATCAAATATTTTAAGTGCGCACTGTCGCGCGCGTCAATGCAGAGCAATAGCAAGAGAGAGACAAAACAAGAGAGCTCGCCTACCCGCACGTGAGAGAGTTTCTGTACATTGACGCCGAGGTTCGAGAGCACAGCGGAGCCAATGACGATGCCAAGGCCGATCCACTTGCCCTGCACGTTGTCTCCCTCGTCGTCGCTTCCCATGGACGCGCTCACGAAGTGCGCAATCCCCTCCATTCACAGAGACCGAAGACAGCGCCGGGACAGAGGCGGTATTGAGTCTATTAATAGATCTGAGACGCTCAAGTGTCAAACTTGACCTTTTGCGGGAGAGGGTAGGGCTACTGAAGGGGCGTCGAAAGTCGAAGTGACAAGTGCTGGAGTTGACTGGGAGGGGGGAATAAAGTACGAAGTGCCGCCGTCGAGTTGTCGTGTGGCAATGTCGTTATGGTCAGTCTTAATTGCTTGTTGAGTACGTGCAACCGCAAAATCCAGATTATGATGCATACGGCGTCGCGCCGACGGACGAAGGACGACGCTGACGACCATAATCAATCACTGAGGATCAGCAAATGATAGGCAAATGTTACCATACGCTTGAATCTTGATATTTGTATGGAAAAAGGGCAAAGCTGGTCATGCTGTAGTCGCCCTGTGGTAACCAACACTGCATTGATCTCGTGCTAGTACTAGATGATCGTGTACGGTGTGTCAAAGCTGTAACAGGCCCACAACTTCCGGATAAGAAAACAGCCTGGCAGAATGTACGGTTCTCGCTACGTCGTGATGCTGCCGTTGGTGACGTCTTCACAACGATGCCTGCCGAATCATAAAGCCGGAGAACGATGTAGCTGTACAGTGCAGTCTCGGAAATCCAGCAACCAGTGCGAGTCCCCATTTTGTGGCTCAAAAGTTTCTTCGGTCGAATGCAGCGCGAGTAACATCTGCCATCCGCTACCAGGCGGTCCAATTGATAAACAATGTACAGTTCGTGTGCTCTCGTATCGCCTTAGATTGACTAGCATTAACACACTTACCGGAGAGCCATTCGAAGGCAGGATCGTCGATCCACACACAACGGTCTTTGTTCCATGTTGTATAACCAATGCCAAATCTTCGTATACTTTCGTGAGAAACCATACTTGACGAACGGTTAAGACACTATGGCTTGTTCGATTTTGTGTTAGTCATAGCCAACGTTATGCATAGTCTTCTAATACTTCGGCAGGCTTCACTACGAACAAGTTAAATCAGCAGCGACATTGGCTATCGGTACATTAGTTTGACGTTCATCCACGCAATGCAAAATTTTGCTCTTAGCTTAGAGCCAAGCGAAGTATTGTACTTGACAGTGGGGACTTGCAAGTGAGTAAAGATCGATGTGGGTGGCAACACAAAAAGTAACGGGAGCATCGACCTCGATTGGCAATATTTGATGAGGACGCTTCTTGCGAGGCTGGCCAGCTTTTCTTTATGGTAGAGTATCCTGAGACGTCGTGTCGTGTTGAACTACAATTGATTTAATCCTTGTGCTTTTTCTGCGCTCCGTCTTGAGAGAACGACTACCTGCTGAAGAAATCGCAACGTTGAAACGTGATTAAGCATCGGCTTGCAAAGCTTGGACCGCTACAATGAACTCATCCACGCACATGTCCTGTCGTCAGGTGCGAATGAGGAAACCCTAAGCATGAATACGTGCGGTCATAATGTCGTTCAATCGGTCTAATGACCTCGAATCGAGATGAACACTTGGTTGACATCGGAAATCATTTGCTAGAGCAGAGATAACAAATTGGGTTCGTCATGACTGTGAGCTGTGCACTTTCAACATACTTATACACATCGCGGTATACACATATCACCCACGATGTAACGTGCACTCGGACACTTTTCGAGCATCCGATTATAAAAGTCTCCTTCAGGTCATGAAGTTGGAGTACTCAATCGCTACAGTATCTCGAGCGAGTGTCACAGATACTATAGCCAATGAACACGACGACGAGCACTTAAGGCGTTGGAATCTTAGGACCACTTCTGCTCAATCGTGTTTTGTGCGTACGATCTGCTACAACAACAGTCACGGTGAGCTTGCGTGCACCACACGCCGTATCGTGGGGTCGTGCACGCTTTTTCACTAACCTTACCAAAGAAAGAAGGGAGCCATAGTCACGGATTTGTCACCAATATAGCCCTAACAAAATCCATCGTCACGCAAACGGACTCGAGGGATAAGTGAGGGCGGTGCGGAGATTAGATAAGCACTTACGATGACAAAACACCAGCGCCAGCATTCTATGTATGCTCTCAACCTGCGTTCATATCATCGGATACGTCGAACCCCGTTCGTGACTCTGGACGGTGCAACCGGAAGTGGACAAGCTTGGAATCCTAGCTATCACTACCAGCAGACCAAGCGTGAAAAAAACAATCTGCCTCTACCAGCATAAACGCCGACTTTGTACTGATCGATACGCTGTCTTGGATCTTGCACACGGTCTTGCTCAGCGATGTACAATAACAAAACTTTGGCCACTTCGGGATGCATGAGACCCGAATATTGGCGTGATCCGTAACGGTGATGAAACTTAGGACCACGTGCCACCAATTCTTTTGTTAACGATGAAACGATCAGTGACTTAAATTAGCGTCTGGTAGCAGAATATTTTTTGTCGTGCAGCCTGAACAAGTACACGTTCCAGGCGCCGGCTACAGTGTACGTCGCTGTTATGCGCTGCTGTTTTAGATAAGACACCAACATTCTACTCCTTGGATGGTCGTTTTGGGCACAACGATCGATGCCACACTATTCTTTACGGGGCTAGCGCTTCTAAGCCAAGTATACGTCGCAGCCGTGCAGCGTATACATGCCTGCTCCGACTCGTTCTAGTGTGGCTGCTTCCGAAGACGTCGCAAGGTACACGAAGGCTACGTTTTCGAGCGCGTACTATCCTACAGATAAGCGCTTGACAATTATAAAATGAGCTGTTGCGGATGGAAAGGAATTGTATGGCCACGGTCGTTTGTGCTGCGATTCATGCTTGCTTCTTTCTGTTTCTACAAGCTCGCTAAGCCCACTGACTCGTCCACTGTGCAGGTCTCTTAAGCTCACGACGACTTCACAACAGGCCAGCCACTCGAGAAATCGAGCTTGTTCCAGCCAAACTGCTTTTGACCGTCCGCATAGCCAATAGCCTTGTTCACGTAGTGGTAGTACAGAACAGGTCCGTGCTTTTCGTCGTCGTACACGCCCTGGCCTCCAGGTCCGTAGACATCACCTTCCGACTTGAACAAGACCGTGCCTCCTCCATCCGTGCAGGATGTGCCGTTCTTGTCGCGAAAGTCCACAACACCGGGTTTGGAGCGGCACACCTTGATCTTGTACTCGTCAATTTTTGAACGTTCCTTCGTGTCAAAACCGCAGCAGTCGCCTTGCGAGAAGAAGAGGTAGTTAAAATGTCCATACTTGAACATATTGGCGCCTTCGTTCGCATGAGGATACTCGGGCTCGTACGCGAGCGTGGTGTACGTGTCAGGAATTACTGCCGTCGGTGGGTTCTTCATCGACGCTTGGAATAGTCCCGTTTCGTAGCTCCCGAAGATCATGTACAGGTTCCCCTTCTCTTCGAAGAGGTTTGGATCAATGGCGTTGTATTTGCTATTGTCATTGCTCTGTATGCCGGTACCGCCCAAGTCCTTCCACGTGCCAATCTCCATCGTAGGTGACGTGGCGACACCAATGGCTGCCATATTGTGCCCGTCGAAAGAAGTGTTTCGCACAGCTGAGTAGTACAAGTAGTACGTGTCATCCACGAGGTGCACATCGGGTGCCCAGACGTCCATCGCGCCTTTCCAAGGCTTCATCTCATGGTCCGTGAGCTTGGTTTTCGTCCCTTTCGGTAGGACTGAACCCTTGTACTCCCACGGTCCAACGAGGTCTGGAGCCGTGTGGACAGCAATTCCACCACCCGTTGAAAAGCGAAAGTAGGTGCCGTCGTCACGACGGATGATGCTTGGGTCGTGCGTGTTGACACAAACTCCTGAGCATGCACCTGGAAGTGGTTGGACGTGGGTAGCGCCAGTGGTGGTTTTCAGCAAAGTGATGACTAGCGCCGCAACGCGAAAGCAATTCATCATGGTACACAATGAACTGTGGTCAGCTTGCTATTCGGGTACGAGGCAAAATGGAGACTGAAGAGCGGAGGAAGCGTGCAGGACAGCTAGCGACGGTGTTTGGGTGAGGAGATACAGAGTTTACGTGCTATCGAAGTCATTGGGTATCGTCGTCTACTCGTTTTCATTTACAGGGACTCACCTCGAGTCAGTTGCTCCTGTTTATGGTCAGGAGCGGGTTGTGGATAGCCTTGAAGCTGAAGGCAGACATTTCTCGAAGACAAAGTGTCCTGTCGAGCAAATCGTCCGTCAGACAAGTCTATGGCCTTTCGTTGCTGCGTCGACCAGCAAAGCCAGCCTTGAAGTGAGCCAATTACTGTTGAAGCGTAAACTGAAGCAAAGGGCGATCATTTAACATGAACGGCTATTTATCATATTACGGGCGCTCAGATGTGATTGACTGCGCAATGGACGTAGCGGTTGAAACCTGTGGTCTCGCCCGGTCGAGGTGCGCTGCATGTCGACATTTTTGATCGCGCAGCTATCCCCATCATCACGCCAATGCTCGAGCACGGTTTAGGGGATCGTAAGCGAGGAAGGGGAGAGCTTGTCTACTATTTCGAGCGGGTCCGTGATGCATTAATCTGAATAGTCCGGATCGTCGCCACGTAAAGGGATCGCAAGCACGTCAAAATATCCGAGCAGAGTCATGTAGTGTAGCAGTGCATTGAGCGGAAGCACGACACGAACTACTTCCACTAGTTAAAAAGAAGCACAAACAAAAGATCGGAAGCTTTTCCACTTAAGCTCGCACTGTCTTGGACTCGTTACTACCGGAATGGCTTCGTTCGGTGTTGTAACTGCATGAGCTAGCGCACAGCTCGCGAATGCACAGCCGTTACTGGGGCAAGCATCAGCACCGCCGCTGTTGCTGATATAGTACTGACGCTCACTACGTACGGTATCTATCGACTCGAAGACCGAAGCCACACCCACGCAGGGATTGATCAATTCCAAGATCGAGCATGATTGTTTGACAGAAAAGCACGCTAGAGAGCCCACAGTAGGGATAAAAGAGCCATTCACCTTGTTGTTACATGAATGATCTTAGCAAATTTCGAGGTTCGACCATCGATTAGGGCTCCATCCCGCAGCGTCCCTACCCTCGGATCCAGGATCTCCTTTTGCGCGAGATGGGACGCGGGATGAGTCGAAGCATCCTGCGCGTCCCGCGAATTTCCGCGCATCCCGCAGTCTTCAATTATCTTACTATACATAACGTTCATATTCTTTTAAATGATAGTCACATAAATCTTACGAAATTAAGAGAGCGTAAAACGAATGGGCCAGTATAATCTATGTGTACATTGTCATACTCAATTTTTATTAGGTAAAAAAGATTCATTTTATCACGAAGATACATGTAAGGGCCAAAAATTAAAAAAAAACTGAAGAAATAAAAAAAAACACGTACTAGTATACTCGCGTCAACGCGGCCCAGATCATAAAGAATTGATGCAGTCCTTTTTCGACACTAAATCTATGGTCGTGCTCAACACCTCTGTAGCAGATTTACCCTTGTGTAGCGGAGATACACAGCTCTTTGAGTCAGAGGAAGACTTATTTAACAAGCCAACGGCTTACGGCTGACAGCCTTTCAGTTCTACGGAACTAATACATCAAGTTAAAGAGTCACCCAGTTCTACAGAACTTAAGTGGACTCTACGAGCTTACAGCTCAACTACTGTGTAGTTCTCGAGAACCACAAGCACAATGTGCGAAAGGGGAATGCCGGAGTCTAAAGACTTTCTAATCCACGACAGTTCTAAAGAACTGTCGAACGCAAGGTGCGAAAGAGGGGGAAGTCGAGGGACTTCTGCTCAAATTGAGAACTGAACTTTATTTTGATTTTGAATCAAGGAAAATCCTTCTTTACGTGCCCTATATTATCCTAAATACAAATATTAGTATTCGAACTAAATGGACGGTTGCCAAATCACTCAGTCATCAAATGATGACGGTACAAAGTACGTACACGGTAAGTACCGTAAGCCTGGGACTATTGATCACTCGATATTCTCTTGCTGACATAAAATCTAAGGTCACACACATTCCTCCATATCATTTATGGGAGGTCTTTGACCAATTCAGCCAAAGGCTAGTGTGACCCCATTAAACCTTGCTCCTTTGTCGGACGAAGGCTGCTAGACTTGTAGCAAATTTTGGTGTATTATACTACGCGGGTATAAAAGCAAAGGGTATCAAGCTGTTACAGATGTAGCGATACTCTTCTTTAAGTGTTTAAACAGGCTCGTAAGCTTCTTGGTCTCGTAAAATTGGCTGACACTTCAGAAATCATGTGGTTCTTGATCAAGAACACTAGCCTCAATGCAGTCTCTTTGCTCTTACGACAAAAACTTCTTATAAACGTGTCTATATATGATCAAAAGGAAAACCGACGATTATTTTTAGTGATGATGAACCTCAACTACGTATTTAACTTTCACAGATTTTGTAATAGTCTAGGTAACCCATTAAAAAATCCTTCTAGTGTAAATACACCAGGATTACGACGTCCTTAGATGACCTATAACGATAGATGCTATTAAACCGTAATTGACAAGGTTAGATATCACCGCTCATCGTATTCGGTACGACAATACGCCTACTAGCTTCACCGACCTCTTGTGCGCGAAACACACGACACCATATCGGTCATACCAACCATTTGTGTAATCCCGTTCCATCTTTCTCTGCCAAACTGTCGATACCCTGGATCAGCATTTTTCACCTTTATCATCAAGATCGCATGGTCAAAATAGCTTATCCCAGTGCTTTGCTCACGACACCTTGTACATCACTACGAAGATTTTTCGATCGTTTGAGCCTTCGGGAAAAATCCTGAGAGAGGAGAATATACTCAACTACGACTGCACCACGATCGTGCTGGGGGGTTAAGAACCCGGACCTGACACACCAGTGTCGCAAAAATCGTCGCGCGTAGCGTTAATTCCCAATCTTACTGAAGCACTGATCATTCTGTGCCAGTGCTTTCGTGCATTAAAACCTGGACGAGATGCTGCTGTTCTTCCTCACTGAGTTATCAACATTGCGATCGGTCAGCAACAACAGCAGTATGTCTCTGGCAACGAACGTCTAGTCGTATGTCTCAGACTGTAGCGGTCGTTGAGGCTCATACTGAATGCTACACAATCATATGAACGTTAATAAACTTCTGCGGGAGTTTGCAGGGAAGCTTAACTAAGCTCGATCACAGATCCCGAGGCTACGTTGTCCGTCGAAATAGCCAAAACGGGATGCTCTCAGCGAGATGCATCTGACGCAGGAACGACAACGATACACATACATCCATCAGTTTTCGGACTCAAGTTATCCACGCTACTTCACCAGATACTGATATTGAAGAAGACACCGCTTCGGGATGTTCTTCGCGTGGATTCGCAGGCTTCCTTGATTATCGAGCACTGCCGGAGGCGGCAGGTGTGTCGTTTCAACCCACAACGGCTATTGTACGAGGTGACATGCCGTTGTGAATCGTCCGCTCGCATGCAGAATATCTTAAAGAAATTAGTTTGAAAAATCCTTGTTTAAGTGCAGGGCGCTCATAAAAATTCGTCTGCTGCGTTGAGTTTTTGAGTAAGCAGGTAAACCGCATCAGCTCAATCGACTCGGCCGACTTTGACTGTATAAGATGAAGAATAATCTGCGTCGTCAGTTAAGCCAGGTAGAACTCTTGACGAAGATATAGTAACTTGGGCAACGTCATTGTCCTGAGACAAGCGCTTCCCGGTACACGAAAGAAGGATCATGTTTAGGCTTTGTAATTTAACGTAGAACACTGGTATTCGTGCACTTGTACTCGTAGGTCTTAAAGTACAGGCAAGGACCTTCTTGGTAACGATCATTAACAATCTTATGAAATGCAGAAGACACTTGATCTTCGAGACATCGGAACTACATTTGTAGGTAGATTTCTAGCGCTTCGTAAGTGTTGGTATTCACTTCAAAACAATTAAAGCATCCTCTGTCCTTAGCATCATCTTGTTGTCTTTATGCGCCATGGCTATCAACCCTTGCACCTTTACATGTCGAAAGACACTAAAGCTCGTCGCAAGAAACTCGCTCACCTGTTTCTGCATTGTGGTAGGGCCGAAATCAGCAAGGTTGTCAGCATACTCTCCCCCATCAACTTCAGAACCACGCATCGATTGCGTTAACAGGGCGCACGCATGTTTAGGAATACTCCCGTAGAAAGCGGGTTGAGGCTTGAACAGCGTTTTTCAGCTCAGATTTAACGACAGGGGCCATCGGGCTTCCGTTACATAAAACCTAGCAGAATCTGTGCAAAAATTGTCTATGAAGCGACTATATCGCTCGAGTTGATTATTCGTTGGCGGTGTTACGTTGTGGACATTTCAATTTTGTGCCAATCATATTTTAAAGAAGGAAGTCCTTTTTCAGCGTAGTGGGTGCCTCTATCAGAGATGATTTCCGCCGGTAAACCGTAGAGTAAAAACACTCGATTGATGAATAGCATAGCATTAATTTACCTTTACCATCGTAAATTCTGGTAAAGCCGCTGATATATCCATCTTGCAAAATCCGTCAATAAAGACCACAATGCCTGTATTGCCGTCGCTTACTTTCGATAGGCTAAACAAACGTCCATATGACTTCCAGTACCCAGTGAGTAAGGGTAAACAGGAAAGGAGCCGCTGTGTGTGCCAGGGTTCGACTCGCTAAAAAATTTCACATGTAGGCACGTATTTGTCAACCCATTTGTAAAGTTTAAGCCACATGTAATGTTGACTTACCGAGCCTACATTCTTTCCCGTCCTATAAAATCATTATGAGTTGTATAATGGGCCTTCATAAGAGATTTGATATTTCAATCATTATCGTGAGGTCTGAAGATGCGAGAATAATTATTATATCTGTGCGATAGCTCAAGAGGCATGATTGATGTAATGTACAAGTAGGCTTGCACGTAACCTTGACAAAAA